GTCCTCCATGATCATGTCATGGATGGCTTTCACATTTGCAGGCACAGAGAAAGAAACAGGCCTTCCACTGGGTTTCTCACTTTCAACACCAAAATGGCCAGTTTTAAAATTGACGACCCAACGTTTAACTGTTGCATATGAAGGGCCACTGTCACCCATAGTTTGTGACATTTCATCATGGATCTGCTTTGCACCTTTCCCTTTTCTGGAGGTGCTGCCATGTTCACTTTGGACCTGAACATGAAAGATAAGTTAAAATCATAGGTAGTTGATTTTTGCACCATTGAATACAGACCAATTGGCCAATACACCCTGCAATTTATATCTTCCTAGCTCAATTTTTTCTGGGAAAGGCTCAGTACTTATCAGCACCCGCTCGTAATTTGAGACGTCAACTGGTGACCTTTAGTGGTTGTTGACTTATGAAAAGTCGAGGTGAATGCCTGAAAGGTTGGGTGCATTGGTCGTAAAAGGAAAGGGCTTGCCTAACGTCTAAAGTATGGAGGATTCTTTCTTGAGTTGTGGACGGTGACGGGAAGAAGGAAGGAAGGATAAAACGGCTGAGAGAGATGGAATTGAGATACGACTTTGAGGAGGAAATAAATATCCATGGATAGTTTGAGTTTGTCTGGAAAAAATGTAAATAAGGATAGTCGTGATGTAAGGCCGCTAAATCACTAGCTCATCAAGCTGAGGTGATGGTGACGAGGAAAATGTTTTAAAGGTAAGTAGCCATAAATCAGTTGAAGCTAAAGGTTCAAAAGGAGCTTTAGTAAGTTGTTGCAGTACTAGTGTTAGTGACCATTGCGGAGAAGGTGGGAGTGTATCTGGGTAGATATGAGATAGACCTTTAAGAAAATGTTTCAATGTTGGATGCTTGAAGAAATCAGCTGCTGGAGACTTAGGGGGCTGATAAGAAATTATGGTGGAGAGGTAAACTCTCAAGGAAGAGAGGGAAAGGCGTATGGTCATCTCCATTGATTTTGTTGGGGGTGTTGTTGGTAAGATGGATAAACGCCCCAATGTCTAACTGCTGATCTTTGCTTTTGCACATTTTCCGAAATATCATCAGTCTGGAAGAGGCTTCAGTGGACATTTGAGGTTTAGTGGAGGGCTTCGATAGCGAGGATTTTGGTATCAAGCGCTTCGATTTATTAGTTTTTGAAGTTTTAGACGACGTGGATGGAACCTCGGAGTGGGATGGTGTGGTCGATGGATGTTGTTTTGAGGATTCAGAAAGAGCCTTCTCCATTGCTTTAGTTTGTGAGGTGGCCTTACAAGGAGGTTGGGCCATTTTGGTTGGTTGAAGGGATTGTTCCCAAAGATGGAGTTTTAATCTGGATAAGTGAGAATGGAGGACTTTGCGCTTGAAGTTCTTACAATGCTGGCAGGAGGACGTCTGATGTGCCTCTCCCAAGCAAAAAAGACACTTGGTGTGGCCGTCAGAGAGTGGTATTTTGTTATGTTTAAACACCATGCAGTGTTTAAACACGCCCAAAGGGGCCATGAATAGGAGAAAATAATTTGAGAAGAAAAAAACTATGATTGTGAGGGGAGGGGGTGCTGTGGCCAGAGGCCGAGCGAAGTAGAAAAGAAAAAAAATCTCTGATGATAATGAATTTGATCTAAAAGTTTAAAGGAAAAAAGATAACAGGAAGGAATCAAGAATAAACTCTCTTTCTCTTTTACTCACAGAAGCAGAACTATGAGGCTCTCAACGCGGTGATTGAAAGAAAACTGAAAGGGGAACCTTGGCGCCAAGGTACTTATATGCGGGGAGGGGCCTTATTCTAATGTGTTCATTGCTATCGCTCTAGAACTTTCCAACGAGGCTCTGTGCAGGCACGGATCACCCAGGGTGTGATTCACAGAGGCCACGAAGAACTGTCTTTCAAAACACATTAATGGCATGAGGGTTTAGATGATCTGCAAACAGTACATCTTGATACCTTCCCAAAAACTACTCTCGCAGGCAGCTGCCTCCTGTATCCAATGGTGGAGCCAGTTGTAGCGCCAACCTGCTTTATAGTTACTACCTTACCATCTAGGCAAAACAAGTCACCCCTTTTTAAGACAAGGAATATCTGATTTAGATGTCCTATATTAATGACTTCCCCTGAATTAACTGGCACATTAACTTCCTTTTTGTCATTTCTAAGAAGAAAGGAAAGGAATGTAAAGAGAATAATAAGACATAGCTTAACATGATCTCCTTTAGGCCAGTTGAGATGCTGCCTTTGGATGCTTTCCACACTCATGAAAGCAATTTATTCAGATGAGTGTCAACTACTAGCTCAACAAGAGAGCTAGAGACCTACTCTTCCTTAAGCTCACAAGCAATGCTTCCCATATTTTAAAAGATATAGTCTGGAGGCCAGCAATGGCAGAAATTGATTCCATAATGATGCCTATATTCATGATTCACAATGTATGCTATTCACATAAACAGCCGCTCAGAGTGGTATAGACTTATCAGATGGGCGGGATATAAGTCAAATAAATAAAATAAAATAAATAAATAGAACATTGTTGGGAGTGAAGGAAGTAGCTGAATGCAATAACACATGAGCCACTGTGGAAAAATGACAACAAAAGATCAAATAAAAGTAAGAGCTTAGTATCTTACTTCACTTAGATCTTCACCTATGTCTTCATAAAGGGAGTGATGTAAATAAAATATAAACCCTTTTTCATACTTCTGTGTTTTATCTTCAAGGGCTGGATCTATCCTTCCCAAAACTTCAGTCATGGACAGACCAGACATCTTATAGTAAGGCAGTGCAAGGTGGAAATCTTTGGTGTCAAACCTGGAAGAACAGAAACCAGCAAAACATGAATCAAGAATTTCTTGAAAGGGCCATATTTGGCAGAATTTGTCTCCTAACAGATATCAGGATAATTGAAATCTCCAATTACTACTGTATTGTGACTCTTTGTAATTCTTACAATTTATTTTTCAAATGTTTTATCTGCAGCTTCTCCATGATTGGGTTGTCAGTAACAGACTCTAACTATCACATCCCTTTTGTTTTTTATCTCTATTATATTAGTGCAGATGCTCTCAAATGGAGAACCAAGCTCATTCTCCTGTATTTTTGAATTGTGCAGGAAAATTGACATATACTGCCAACGCCACCTCACTTTCTATTCTTTCTGTTCTTTTTGAATGGTTTATATCTTTCAACTGCTGCATTCCAGTCATGGGAGTTACTCCACCAAGTTTCAGTCATCCTTATCAAGTCACATTTACCCTCCTGAACTAAGATTTCATGTTCTTGTATACCTGGCTTTTGTATATAGGCATTGGAGAGTGTGTGATTTGTGGCTTGCTTTCCTTTGCACATTTTGATGAAGATTATTATTGGGTTCCATTAGAGCTCCTTGCTCTGCTCCTCTTATAATGCACAAGACTTCATCTATCTTTACCGCTGAGCCCGCATCTCCCTCCCCCTTTCTTCAGTTTCAAACCCTCCTGATGAAGTTCTTCATATGGTGGCCAAACATATTCTTCCCAGTTCTTGTGGGGTGCAACTGATCACTTGCCAGCAGTCCATCTTCTGGGAAGCATAGTCCATGGTCCCAAAAGCCATATGCCTCATATCAGCCAGCACCTTCATAGCCAGCTGTTCATGTGGACTATGGCTGATAAAGTATCAGACGAGGACCCAAGAGACCTAGATTTAAAGCCCAGTTCAGCCATGGAAACTCTCTATGGCATAATGATGGTAAGCTGCTCTTTGAAAACATCACATACCTTGACAACCCTATTAGGGTTATCATAAGTTGGAAGTTACTCGATACCATAGAACAATAAAGATAAAAAACTATTACTTTCTATGCTCAGATCTTAGGGAAGCTAATGGCCCAAATTTGCCAAAGTTGGACTACAATGCAATCATACTTGCATGTAACTGAGTGAAGAAGACACTTATCTTGAGTTACTTTTCTTCCCATGCCTTCTTACAGTTCAAAGATATGAACATGGAAAGTAACAACTAGAACAGGCCAAGAGTTTGCATCTTTGCTTATGACATCCAAACCTGCTATAACAGTCTCCTAGGAGAGCACAACTTTCCCGAAATGCTTCTAGGAGGTCTTCTTTTTCTTCTGATTCCATCAAATCAGGGTCCATTAAAGCTGTTCTGACTAGCAAGTGGGCTTCACTTAGAAGGTGAATGCAACTCTCTGTTCTTACATTTTCATAAGTCTTGCTGTATTCTACCTAAGGCAGAAGTAGGGGAAAACATGAGGATTAAATATAATTTCTGCACAAAATCTGTACCAATTTAAGTGGAATAGATTAGATTAATATTATGTTAGGGAGTCCAGACAAGATGAAATGAATGGAATATATTGTAATAAATCACTCTGGTTGCAATGGATAGAAAAGTAGAAAAATACAATAAAATATTTATTAAAAAATCTCTGCAGATTCTAGGCTATAATGCATGAGCACAATTCAATTAAAACAAAAACAGAACAATACAATACCATTTCCCGATAAAGCTGGAGAGTTGAAGTTGTGTGCACGATGTATAAATTCCACCCAGGTTCAGATTCTGGAGGAACTTTGCCTTTGGTGTTACCTGTCTTTCGGGAGCTGAAAGAAGGGGATATAAATATTGTGTGCATTTAAGTCACAACATAGTTGTTCACATGTGTTCAGTTCCAGTGAACAAACACTCCTGAACAATGTCTGGCTCAGATACATAAACCATGCCACATCTTCTCACAAGCAGAGTAATGTCTGTACTTACAGGAGTCTCCTTGAAGGTTTTTTTCTCTGTGTGATGTTCTCTGCATCTGCTTTTGTCAAAACTATGACGTGATTTTTGAAGTGAGAGATAGCTTTCAGTCCTATGAAAAGCTGCATTGTCAAGGCACAGACATCCAGTGTTACAGGTGGACATGCCTGAATGAATGAATGAATGAATGAATGAATGAATAAATGAATAAATAAAATAGAAGGATAAGGCTATTTTCTGAGAGATTATTAAATCTCTTTTTTAAAAGATTATTAAATATTTAAGCATCTTTAGGAAGAAGAGTGTAACTTTAAAAAAAAACTTCTTTACATTTAATTCCTCAATTCTTCCTGTCTCATTTTGGATTCCTGACTCTCAAGTATTCAACATCATCACCAACCAAGCCAAAGCAAACCAAAGCAAACCAAAAGTATTTTGGAACTTTTGAAACTGACAAATGCATTTCAGTGTGGTGGATTACAATCTATTTTTTTCCAGGTACAAGAAAACACAGAAACAAACCTTTTAGTCTGTCAGGGTCTGCTACCTTGACTGCTTCAAAATTAAAACCATTAGACACGCCCTAAAACTTTAGCCCAAAAATAAAAGTAAAACTTGCAGCATGAAAATGTTGTTTACTACAAGCAGCACTAGCAAGGTCATTGAAAAATAACACCTTCCAGCAACTAACTGTTCTGTTTTGCTTTATATTCCTAACACGGAAGTAGCGAATACTGAAAACTACCTCAAGGGATGAACAACATGCAGGTATTAAAGAAGAGGTATTAAAGAAGAGACTAGATATATGGCACAGCTTTAGAGTTCTCTAGACATGCATTTTGAGGGCAGAGGAAATCAGACACAGGAACAGCTTTGAAGATAGAAAGGGAGCACCTTGAGGGTTGTGTCAATATACGGGTCTTCATCACGAGCTGCTGCTGCGCTGCATCTTACTGTAAAGCATTGCAGGTTGTTGCTAGAGGAGGAGAAATGGTGCACAATGAGACAGCTGGGTATACAGATTATAATCACAGTTCAACTCAACACTGTGACACAAAGATGTTACTCAAACCCCTCAGTGTTCACAGATACTGTGGTAGGTATGGAGATGTTGTCCATATCAGTTTATGACTGTAGTTCAAAGGAAAAGAAGCCAATGTCTTGATTGAGATCTAATCTCATAGGTACCCTATTTCTCTTCTTCTCTCTGAAGACACACTCCCTGAGACGGGACATGGTCCCCCTGGCCAAAGCAACAGTGACATTATAGGGGATAGCCATGGCTCCCCTGTGTAATCTAGCTTGCAGAAATAGGTGGGGTAGAGACCCATACCACTACCCCAAACTTATCTACCCATTATAGTTTAAGAGAACTGAGAGGTATGACACACAGTGTGATCCTCAAGCAGTGCTCCCAGATGTTATTTGGACAACAACTCCAGAAATCCCAGCCAGCACAGCTTGTGGTGAAAGCTTCTGGGTTTTAGTTCAAGAACAGACCCAAGGTTGGGAACCACTCCTTTGATGTGCCTGTGGAAAGTGGCTTTCCCTCCCAGGGCTCTATTCCATCCCACCACCCCCGTCCACTGTAGCAGAACTCCCCCATCTCATAAATTGCATTTGGGGAGGTTTAAAAATTTAAGAGCACTCAAAGACATCTGGTACAGATCTGGAGAAAATTTAAATTTAGTTCAAGAACAGACCCAAGGTTGGGAATCACTCCTTTGATGTGCCTGTGGAAAGCGGCTTTCCCTCCCAGGGCTCTATCCCATCCCACCCCCCCCGTCCACTGTAGCAGAACTCTCCCATCTCATAAATTGCATTTGGGGAGGGTTAAAAAATTAAAAGCACTCAAAGAAATCTGGTACAGATCTGGAGAAAATTTAAATTAAGTTTAACATGCAAACAAAACAAATCCCCAAGCCTCACTAGCAACACAAGGAATGACCTCCTTCCCAGCAAATCTCTCTGGGAATGTCAGTGTAACCCTTAAATCCTTAAGCAGGACAATGAAGAAAGTAAATGGAAGTGACACTAATAATAATTACCTTGTGATAACGTGAAGGAACTGGGGTGTGAGAACTGCCTGCTGAGATCTCTCTGAATAATGGTAGGTAGAAATCAGCTCCACTAAGTTACTAATTGTGTACAGATATCCAATGTGGGGCAGGGAGAAAAAGCAGAATAGACTCAGCAGTTCTTGCTTAGGTGTATCGCCTCTGTCTATTTTCTTGGAATTCCCTAGATGAAAGAAAAATAAATACATCAGACAGCATTTGTGCAATGCTCCACTAAGTTACTAATTGTGTACAGATATCCAATGTGGGGCAGGGAGAAAAAGCAGAATAGACTCAGCAGTTCTTGCTTAGGTGTATCGCCTCTGTCTATTTTCTTGGAATTCCCTAGATGAAAGAAGAATAAATACATCAGACAGCATTTGTGCTATTTAAATTATAGATCAACATGTTATAGATCAAAGATGCAACATTTGTCATTGCGCTCACAAGTGGGTGCAACGAAATGAGGTGCTCTTCCCCAAGGTAAAACTGGACAACACTACAAAAAAAAGTTAAAATATACACAACTTTCATCATCCAAATATAGATACCCCGTTTTCTCTCAGCAATTAAAATTCCACCAAAAACCTATGGCCCCGCATTTAAACTCAATACTGCACTTGGGTAAAAACTGTTCTTGAATCTGCTTGTCCTTGCTTTCAATACCCTGAATCTCCTTCCTGATGGTAATAGTTTAAAGAGCTGATATCCCGGATGAGAGGAGTCTTTCAGTATGTTAGATATCTTCCTCTTACATCTGTTCTTATACAATTCTTCCAAAGAGAGGAGTGAACAGCCAATGATGTTTTGGGCCGTCTTAATCACCCTTTGAATTGCCTTTTTCTCTGCCACTGTGCAGCTCGTGAACCATACACAGAGATCAATTATAGATCAATATGCCACACACATGTTCTAGATTAAGGCTGCAATTGTAAAATTCACTTACTAGACAGCTAATCCCACCAAACAGTGGAATTTACTTTGGAATAAACATGTAGAGGGTTGAGAGCTAAATCTTAAGAAGCTTAACACTTAGTTTCCCATTCAGTTCATGCTCATTTCCTCCCTTTAACATGAGAAAAGAGAACAACATTTCCCAAAGTCCTACTACTGGTGGTAAATCCTCATTAGCCTGAGGACCAAATTTAATTTCAAAGTTATCCCAGTCATGGCAGGGACCAAAGGGTGAAGGATGGTGTGAGACAGAGGGCGAGAGGGATGCCCCATTTGCTGGAGATCTGCCCCTCATCAACAGCAAAACTAGGGAAGAGAACTCGAGACCCGTACCAGAGCCTACAGAGAAATCTCAGCAGGAGACAGAGATAGAAAAATTGACAGAAGACAAAATGGTGATGAGGGAGGTTCAGGGGGAAAAGACGTGAAGAGAGAAGAAAAAGAGGGTGGAGTCTGAAGCAGGAAGGGGGAGATGGGGAGGAAAGAAGGTCAGTTACCACCCAGTGGGGAATGGGTGTGGATGCATGATCCCTGGACTGGATTGTGGGAAAGATTAAGGGTTCCCATGGAGGAGGCAGACTACAGAAGGAGAACGGAGATTCCACCTAGACCCTCTTATTGGGGAGAGGCTAAAGCAAGAGAGTGGAGAAGGAGACAGAGAGAGGAGAAAGAAAGATTGGAATGGAGGGTAAGGAAGATGAAGATAATGAGTTACAGGGAGGATCCTAGGAGAGTCGAGACCCAAATGGACGGATCCTATGGGATGATGACTTGGACAAGGAGACTGGAGGGCCATGATGGGGCAGACCGTAAGAGACTGGGTTCCCACAGATCTACTGGGACCGTGGAACACTAGTTTTGGAAACCCATTCCTGTTTGAAGATTGGAAACCCCTTGGCAGAAGGAGAAAAGATTCATAATCCTGTTCCAGACACTTGTTTATTGTTAAATACACCAATAAATCTTTCACCTGTTTCGAAGCAGTGAAAAACGACTGATTTCTTCAAAAATGGAGCCAAAACTCAAACTCTCACATATGAGCCCAAAATTATGAACATATTTTAGCTTAATTAAACTTCTTAATTAAACGATAGTTCAACCTTTCAGAGTGGATAAAAAACATCCAGTTTAAACCATAACATCTGGCAAACTATCAAGTTACGGTGTCATAGGTAAGGGCTATAGCTATCTGGGAAACCCCAGAAAGACAGACTGGGAGTCCAAGAGGGCCAGAGTCATTCCCAGAGCCTAAGATTAAACCCTGGACACATTATTTGGCTTGCTATAAGTCAGATGTGACTTGATGATCAAAACATAATATTAATCAAAAGAAAGTTGATTCACTATTATTAAACACATGAAGAAAGCACATAAATCAACTTTCTCCCATGGAATCAAATCAGGCAGCTGAGTTCAAAGGAGGGCTGGGTGAGCTGTTAAAGGCATGGATACTTGAGCAACACATACTTAAATGTAAGAGAGGTTGACAAAAGTGATCTATCCCTTTGCTAGTCATGCGTCCCATCCTGCCTTGATCACTTTCTTTCTACATCGTTAATCCAGGGACAATGGACACAGAATAAGCCATCTGACTAAACAGGAAGAAGACAGGCAGATTATTCTAGGATGCTTGCTTTCTCAAACCTCCAGATGATCTTTTTTAGCAAAAACAAACAAACAAAGAAAAATAAATTGATCTATTCTATCTGGCCTCTCTACAGGAGGGCTATCTTGTGAGATGACTCCTTGACTGTTCATTGGTAGGTGTGAAATGCCACATCCTCAACTACTTGTGCCCAGGAAACAATCAGACTCTTTGTTTGGGGGCCATGTTTAACTGTATATTTGCCATGTAGTCTCACTCTTATGTCTGAAGAAGTGGACTTGTCTACAAAAGCTTACATTAAAATGTAGCAGTTTAGTCTTTTAGGTGCCACAATGTTTTTGTGTTTAATATTTGTGAACTTAATATTATACGTATATTGCTGCAGCTTTCATAATGTCTTAATTACGTAAGCTGCCTCCTTTTTACTCATTGTTCTTAGTTTTAATGTTCTTGCCCTTTAATGATGTATCTTTTTTTTGGAAAACACATATTTTGGATAATTTGGTGAGCTTCCCAGATAGCATGGCACACTCGTAGCTCAATCCTCGATAGTTTTAATTAGCAGCAAACCATGCTGAGTTCCACTGGACTCACTGAAAGAGTTCTGAGGTTGTGCTTAACACAGGTTACGAAAAAGAAGTAACAATTTGTCCTTCTTCCTCACTTTCTCTGTAATTCATCAGTCCTCTAGAGAGACATTCCCACTTCTTTATACTAATAGTATATTAAGTCTTACAAGTTCCTTCCCTTTCCATTTTCATTGGATTTCATCCTTACTTACTTGTAACAAGAAAAATGAGAAAAGAGATTTCCAGAAGGTTGAAAAATCAATAGAAAATGTTTAGATATGTAAGACAGAAGTACAAGAAGCACACAACAATTATTTGTGCCATTTGAAATTGTATATAAATATCTAATCAAAAGCAGCCTAGTATTCTCATGACAACATTAAGAGCAATTTACTTGGAATGCTGTATGATTCCAATTATCAGGATTTTTATGACACAAATGTCAGCAAGATTCACAGATTCACAAGCATTAGCTTTACCTCTACTGCATTAGGCTATTACTATCAGAATATATTTTCCCATGTCTTTTCCTATCCTATATCTTCCAGAACAAAAATGGAACGTATAAATGTACCTGTTTCATACATAGGTAACAGCTGAAGGGAGTGCAGCTTAACATGTTCAGCAGAGTAGAGAAATGAGGACAGGTCTGGGGCAAAGCGCCTAGAAAGAAAGGTATTGAGTGAAAGGGTGCTATGCCAAGACAAAGACCTCAGGCCAGAGCACAGCATGACTGATGTGATAAGTGGAATCCCTAACACTACTCAATCTGCCTTTTATGCTGTATTAGCAGTACATGGAGATTTTGGAAGGTGCATGATGGAATGGACGAAAGCATGCTTCTGGGCATGAGCAAGTATTTACATAAAGCAGATTGCTGGATCAAGTCATGCGTTGCTTTGATGGCAATGTGAATGTTCTGTGGGGGGACTCCTACATTTTGCATTTGTCTCTGATGTGCAGAATACACTAGGCTTTCACCCCACACTTGTTGCAGAATCCAGGTACTGTACATGACACATGCAATTCCTATGGAACCAAGGTGATAAAATCAGAGATTTTCTAGGACCTCTGTGCACCTGCCATTTAACTGGTACAGGTCAAGAAGGGCAGATGTGCTTCCCATGGGAAGCATCACATTCCTTCCTAGCAGATAAGTACATTCTACCTTCTGAGTTTGGAACTGAACAAACAGATTGACCAAGATCACACCCTGCATTGAAAACCAATTTCAAACTGTAGCATATACAGTAATTATGGACAGCTCCCTCTCTGATGCCCAGATCAGTTTACCAGGGAATGAAGGCTCTCCCTACATGTCAAGGTACTGAATCTCGACTTTTAAAGGTGCTTATTTATTTTGCACTAGAAACATCATGGAGTGGCACAACTTGAGGGTGTAGTAGGGCCAGGTGCAATGAAGGAGTGGAAAGCCTATATGTGTCAGCCTACAACTCCCAGTCCTACCAGCCACACTGACTGAGGAGTCTGTGGGCTGACATCCAAAATAACTCAAGGATAGAGATGGGGGTATTCGTCTATGAATATCTCTGTGCAGCGGGAATTAATAAGGGTCCACTCCATTAATGGGGCTGGACTGTTCACTCACGCGTCCGCCACTGGCAGCGGCCTCACTCATCCTTCCAATCACTCATGGAGCTCCGCTCTCTTGGCTAGCAACCCAGCAACCTTGCAGAGAGACTTATTCTCTCCCCCACTGCCAGGAGTGGCTAGCTGTGCTGGGCTCCAGGAGTGACTGGAAGGAAGAGTGAGGCCACCAGCAGACACGTGAGTGGACGGTCTGGGTCAGACCCTCATTAAGTCCAGCGGAGTGGGGATACTTGTATTCGTATATGAATACCCTCTACTCAAGGGTCATTGCTTCTGTGTCTCTGGCATAAAAGACTCTAGTTATTCCAGACTAGAGACCTGTCATTTTTAATGCTTTTGTAAATATATACATATAGATCCAATATGTTGCATCTTAGTTTCTATTTCCAATCAAAGACAGTGTTTATTACCTGTAGAGCACATATCGCATTTGGAAATTTAGCTCTTCATTGACTAAGCCTGTTGACTCTAGAGTAACAGATATTCCACAATGGCTACTTTCTTCCTCAAGGAGCTCCACAGGCTGCTGGCAAATAACAAAGTCATCTGGATCAAAGTGAGTTGAATCAGCTTCCTCTTTTATACCTTCAATAAAAAGACAGCATGGGTTTTAAGTTAGCAACAAGAACACAAGATTATAGCATGTAACAGAATGTTCATTCCAGTTTGCCACATGACTAGGAGTTTAAATGCACACTGTTACTCAGGCCCTATCTTGAAGACATCCAGATGTCAGCTACAGGGGACTCAAAAGGGGAACAAGACAGAATTGGGGGCAAGAAAATAGCTCAGATGCAGGCCTGGTCCCTATATAGGTCAGGAAATTTGAGTTGCCTGGAAAATGGGATGCTGGGAACAACTTCATTGAGTTGACAGTGCTTCTGTGGGCAAGAAACAATGAAGGAATCACTATGGGGCTGGGTGTAGACCCTGTGAAATTTGTTACTCTCGGCTGGATAGCTCATTGAATTAGGTATCTGGCTGTGGAGGCAGAAGTTGGGAGTTTTAGTCTCCATTGTGCCTCCAGGAAGAAGAGTCAGCCTATGTGGCCATGGGCAAGTTGTACAGTCCCAGAGTGCCCCCAGAAGAAAGGAATGGTAAACCACTTCTGAGTACACCATACATAGAAAACCCTGAAAAGGGTTGCCGTAAGTCACAATTGACCTGACAGCAAACAATTACTAGCAGTATGAGCCTAGACTGTTACTTATAAAGAGATGAGGCGCCCAGGGTTATGTCAGTCTCTGAAGACAACAGAGAACTGTTTTGGCTCCACCATGCAGAAGAAGTGCTTCCACTGAGAAACTGGAGACTGCAAAACTTGACTTTTCAAATTTAAATTCTAAAAGAAGTATGAGTTTGCCAAATGTATACAATGTGCTCTAAAGTTTTTAATTCAACAGCACTGTCTTGTGGGAATGCGAGGGGAAAAAACACACCAGACAATTGACCCAGGAGAATATAAAACCATATTTTTTGCAAACAAAATCCAAATTTTTTAAAAAAGAATATAGCATCTAAAGGAACCCAGGACATACACACAACTATTCTAGGGTAGAAGAAACTTTATTTACTTCTATCAGCCTAAACATTAAAAAAATTTAACAAGATATATTAGAAAAATAGCCACATTTACTGAAATGCTAAGTGAGAGATCTTGAAAATCCTGGCTTATCATTCACAAGCAAGGATCCTACTATACGCTGCCAGGTTGTTCCCACATGGCTCCTTTTCACAATCAAGAATTTTATTTATTTTCCATAACACTGTTGAGAAGGAAAGAAGATAGCTTTTCCATGAATAAACAAGGCCGAACTCTAAAATTTCTTTAGTGATGCATTATTGGAAATTCTCCTATTGAATAAAGCAATTTCATCGATGGATGTCTCCCACTGAATGGAGAACTAAATCTTCTGCATGTGGGAGAGCATATTTATATGTAAGTATAAGAGTAATTTTTAAAAATATGTGTCCTGTTGTCTCATCAGTCATATCCTGCACTGACTGAAAATAAAGGAATAAATCCAGTTGTTGACACAGAACAGCTTCAATGAATCAGTGAGACATAAGAATTTAAATTAACACGTTCTATTCATTCACTGGCTCCACTTGTGTTTCAAATAACAAGAAAACCCCCTTTCCAAGCCATTTGGATCACTAGTTGATCCAGAGATTTTTAAACAACATACAAACCTTTATTAGTATTTTCAGGTTCCAGAGATCGATAGATATGCTGTTGTTCCTGATCACTGGCTGTTTTCTTACCAGTTTCCAGTTTAATGATTAGGACTTCTAGTTCTGCTGTTATAGCAATGTAGCCAGCACAAAATGCAACTTCTGAGGGTGTGAAATTTTGAATATGCAAAATCAAAGAACGCTCAAAATCCATCACAGTTACATCCTGCCTTAAGACAAGACGCTTCAAGCGGAACAAGATCAATTTATTCTTGCAGCCAACAAGCAGGTCTCCAGTTAAAGGACAACAGGAAAAGCACAAGGGAGGATCAGAAAGCGGCAACTCGATGATGGACATTTGGTCTTTAGAAGCTTCACTATAGGGTGTTTCTAGGTTATGGCCCACGATTCGAACACACACACGTGCCGTTCCACCCGAGAAACATCTCCAGTTTACGTAGGCTTGCAAGAAGAGGCTCTTGTTTTTCTCCTCAATAGTGACCACATAGTCCCCTGAAAAAGCAAGAGTATATGTGGAAAACACAGGATCAAAGATGGATCAAGACACATAAGCAGAAGGTTCTACAATTAAACTGTCATCAGAATCCTATTGCTGATTTAGCTTGAATACGGAAAATTCTAAGTCTCTGCAGGAAATTACTATTCATTACTGAGGTGCTGGTTGTGTTCTTGGACACATCCCCAAGATGTACAAACTCTCCCTTAAACCAGCATAAATTGGCAACAGGATTCTGAGCGGAACTTTTATTTGAAGGATGTTTACATCATAGCCCAACCTGGGAGCTCAAACCATATTTATGATACTTACTTCTAAATCTATACAAAATGCTTAGATCTGCAGATTTCAGTTCAAGGTACAGTACAAGTAAACAATACAGCATTATACAAACAACCCCCAATATGCAGAATCTAATATTTAGCTACCTGGGGCTGCTAGCTACATAAATTCCCAGTCAGCAACCATCTGCCATTGTCTCCGGCAAATAAAAGCACACTGGAACACCCTACCCTACAGACATTATGTGTACTCCACATTTTGACTGTTAACTAGGACACTGTTCTCAGCAACAGAATAAGCTGTGCCAGGATCATTTTATATTTATTGTGGTAAAAAGGATGGCTATTCAGATTATTACATTAAAGTGAGATTGATTAAGAGCATTGCGTTGTACATTTGTGGAGGAAACTGAGGCCACGACATCTGATCAGGCAGGCTAATTTCTGGGCTTTTCTGTTTCTCTAGCCAGGGTCCTGCTGGATTCAGAAACTTGGCAGAACCACCTTACAGGGCTATCGCGAAGATGAAACTGATTTGTAGGGGGGTGGACGAAACAATGGGAGTTCTCAGGGAAAAGGAGCAAAACAATAACACCACCACCACAAGAGAGCGTCTCTACTAGCCTCTGGCTCACGAGTGGCTCAGGTTCTCTTCCCTTACCGGCATTGCTGTACGCTAA